AATTAATTTCTAACTCTCTCTGTAGTGATTGTAACTTGTGAATGTCGCAGTATAAAATATCTAAATAAAATGGTAAAAAATGTCTTTCTATTCATAAATAATGCATACTTATACTAATATATATATATATATATATATAATAATTTTTATGCGGAAAATTGTTTAATAAAAATAATATATGTATTTTTTATGTGTTAGATGAGAGCGTTTTAATAAGATAATTAAGATAATTCACAAGATGCCAGACCTATAAATCGCGTTAAAACTTCCATTTGATCACTGGTTTGACTGGACAAAGTGCTTCTTCTCTGGCAGTGATGAAATGTTGTATATCAGAAGTCTTCGGGGATTAGGAGGCCATCACTTCTGCAGTTTTGGTCCTGTATACTTCTAAATGTCAGCTGTCTTCGCTGCATATAGAATGATTTATCAACGATGGTTTTACATTGTGTATTTCTAAAATATTCTCTCTTGCCGTACTAAATTTTTATTAAGAAAATAATAAATTTCAAAAAGAGAAATTTATCATTTGTACTTCGATAAATAAATTCGTATATTTCTAAATGTACTAAAGTTTACAATTTCTTAAAATTTCAAATATAAAAAATAATAATAATAATATTACATATAATCTGATTACAGATTTTATAACATTTAAATAATTTTTCTACATTAAAAAAAAAAAATCGATATTGAATAATGTAAAACGAATTTTATCAGACTTACTCGAATTACAAAATTCTTTACAGAACTTTCACTCGAAAATGATAACGAAGTTAATGGTAGATAGCGAGTTGAAGTTGGATTGCAATTACATCTCTTCACATTTTATCACGTTAATTAATATCAAGTTTTTGTTAGGAACGGATCATTTCACACCCTGATTATACAGTTTACAATTGTAAAATGTATTATCAGAAACTAAATTTCTAAAACGGACATAAAAGTATAACAAGCTATTATTCAAGCAAACACATCAATAGCCTAGACTTTAATGATTCCCTATCAAGAGTAGTTTCCTGTTGGTTGAGCTAATTCTTAACTGAGGATGCGTTAATTGATTGGTTAACGTTGATAGAAGTGACAACCGACTGAACACAACTACAATTTCGACTGAATAATTCGTTTTCTTAATATTTATTCTCTTAAAACTTATAAATATTAATATTAAATAAAGTCTACGAATATCTAAAGTTAACAAAATTTTATTAATTGATTAAAGAAAATGAATCGAATCATCACGTCACACCTTCCTACATTTTCATCCTAAAATATTTCTCCGTTTTTATCTTATAAAATATGAAAATAAGATGAGATAATGGTTGAAGAAATATTGAATAGCTATTATATAAAAATGATGTGATTTGAAACATTAAACGATTTCACAAAGAGACTTGATAAATGGTAGCTTTTTTTTCTATATATAGCATACAGTTTACATAATGAAATATTAACGATTCTTATCTCAGTAAAGAATACCTCAGAAATCCAATAAGAGTGTCAAACTCACTTGTGGGCTCTTAAAGTTAAAAAAAAAGGCAAAATTTTCTAGATATATATTTGCTTAATGGTGAATATAGATTGATGGATGAAGAACTTCATACAGGAAAAAAATACATATATTTAAAAAAAAATCACTTACTTTACTAAATATAAAACCGTAAGGCTCTTTTTTTTATTAATAAAAACTTCTATAAAATGAAATTAAATTTTATAACATATTACCTATCTAGTATTAATTTTTCACTAAATATTCATAATTCGTGACATTTTCAAATTAATATAAATGGGAGAACATGCGATGGATTATTTATTACTGTCTGTATAAACATTTATCTAGCTAGTAATAATATTATTGATCCAAGTGAAAGATAAACTGTGATTTAACTAATTTAATCAAATGACTTGTGTAAATAAATTCATTCTACAATTCGTGTATGTTGAACTGATTGGATTTTATTTTTAAATATCGTTCTATTTAGACAAACATTGCTTTATTATCTCTGATAATTAAGGAGATATGTGCTCTTCTAATCATATTTTTATTAGTTTTATATATAATTGTTATTACGGTTTTAATATTTAACATTCATTTACTAACCAAATTACTTTTAGAGTAACCCATCGGAAATGGAAATGAGATGCTCTAATTCATTTCGTTAACTAATATATAAATACTTTAAAAGTAATTAATTTTGGCTAGTGAGTGAGCCGAGGAATGATAATCATTAAAACTGAAACCGTAATAATACAGTTCATCGCTGCATGTATATTAAATGTTAATTTAATGTCTATAACAACTATAAATAGACTAAAGACATGGATAACTTTAATAACTGCGTGGACTGGCATAAATATCTTTATGCATAACTATTATGAATGTACAAATACACGGTTATAATGATCTAATTTTATACGTATGGCGTAACACTAACTTAACTGTGTAAAAATTAATCAATTTAATATTGCGAATATACTTAGTATCTATAATAAGTATAACTCTAATGGTGTGTTATTGTAATATAAATCTACAACAATGGCAATATAGTATAGTAACACTAATAGGAGTAGTTATATTAAAGGTAACTTATAAATCAAACAGCTTGGTTTATGTATGACTCTTATAAATATAGATTCTATATTAATAAATTAACATAAATGATTCCTATATTAGTAACTTTATACTGTAATTATTACGCTTGCAGGCGCTAATATACATAAATATGAACTTAAATACATTCTTCATAGACTAAATCTATTAAGATTCTACTGAAATTTATATACAAATTAACTTGAAATAACGTAACTGAATTGAGTATTTTGTAATAATATACAGTATATGATTTTATTATATTAAAAACTTCGATAACGTAACGTAACTAGGATATACCGGAAATTATTTTAGATTATTTGTTTTCGATTTAGTTATGTTACTACTGAATACTGCAGAACGTTCTTAAGTATTCAGTAGTAATAACTAGGCTAATGTAACGTGACGTAACTAGTTATGTTACATTAGCCTAGTTATGACTATTATTACAAATATAAGATATAAATTTATTACATAATCACAATTTTAAAAACACATTTTAAATATAAACAAACGAACCACCTTTTAAAAATTCTACACCGGCGATTTACATCATATGTATATATTCAGCGTTATTGACATATAAACTTTATGACTACTTTTAGCACACCTAAAAATAGGCAAAAACATTTAAATGTATTCTTCAAATGTATGTTATTAAAATATGGATATATATTCGTGTTTATATTCCATCAGTGCAATATACATGCAGTTCGTTGATATGTTTTAAAATTGAATCTGAATATCATATAATGTGACATAGCGTTAAAAAAAAAGACATGCACCAAGTGACACAAGCCGGGGGACACAATAGTTGTTGTCATGTGTCAGTACGACTTTGAGTCAGTGTGGAGCCAGACTTACTTTATTTTTATTATTATTATTTTTTTTCCTTTCCAGATGTCTACAAAACTTGACAGTTCTCAAAACTTTACCTCCTCGACGTACTGTATTTCTTTTTCCATCCTGTTATTTTTATTCCCTTTCTTTACATTGAAGTTTTCTATTCTTCTACAATAACTTGTTGGAATCCCTAATAAATGACAACAAACTCTAATTATTATATTGGTTGTCTCGTTTTTTTTATATGAAGAAAAGAAATGAAAAAATATTCTCTCTTCAATTTTCTCTTTCATCTAAGTAAATAAAAGAAAATAGTCTAAGAGAAAAAGATATTTCAATCAATATCATTCTATTCTAAATTACTTGAGTAATAAAAAAGTAAAGTTACGGTAATTTATTCCGATATTAAATTCTTGATATGTAAGAAAAAGGGAAAAATAATATCCTTTTTATTAATATTGAAACTATTATTCGTTCAATATGTTTAAAAGAACGGTTATGAGTTCAATAATTAAAGTAAGATGAAAAATATTCGTTAAATTCCATTCAAATGACGATATTAACATGAGCTTTGACACCTTACTGCATGCATTAAATATTATTTTTAATTGTTTAATAAATAAAATATGCAGAATACTCTCCAAACATAATTATTCCGTCTTAAATATTCAAAAACTAATTTATGAGGAAGAAAAAGCGCAGATATTTATACTTAAATTTTTAATTAAAACATCCTCTCGAGCTTTTCTGTAAAAATGTACGTTTTATTAAAAAAAGCTTATACTTTTTATTTAATTTTAATGTAATATATTTATATAAAATTCAATTTTCCATCAATTTTCTTAAAATTAAAATTGAAATTTGATCGAATCAAACATGAAATAATAATAATAATAATTTTTATATTAAATATCTCTGGCGCCATCTGTTGAAGAGAAAATGTAATAATTTTGAATATATTGAAAAATTAAATAAATGATTAAATTAGTTTATAATAGAAATATTTAATCTTATTATATCTTATTAAATAAATTTAAAAATTTTTCAAAATATTTTTTAAAGTATAAATTATGGTTTACACTAATAATCAGATAGTGTGGGGAGAATTTTTATTTAATGTAATTATTTTTTTTTTTTTGATATATTAATGAATCATGGAAAGATTAGAAAGTATATTTTTGCTAAAACATTCTGTCAGGTTTATTTTATAATAAAGAAAATAAAAAAATGGATTAAAAGATAAATTTAATTCTTTTAAAGCTTTGATAAAAATAACAAAAAAATAAAAAAATAATAAAACTTTTAAATTAATTAATTAATTAAAAGAAAATTATTTATAAATTTTTATTCTAGTTTATTTAAATTTATCGTTAATTGTAATTAAATTAATAAACTTTTGTTTAAATTAATTATTAAATTAAGGAAGAATTCTTTCTTAATTTTTATATTTAATCTGTAATTGAACAGAAACAGTTTTAATTAATTCAATTTTCTCCTTTATATTTTTAGATTATTTTATTTATTTATTTTTTACTGAATTATTTCAATTATTAGCATAAGAATTCGTTTATATGGTCATGCAAGAGTTAAATTTATTTAAGTAAAAATATTCAGCATTCATGCAACATTTACTAAACCAATTATTGTATATGCATTAACAGAGATTTGTAAACTGCAGGGTGTTAACCCCAGTGAGAGAACCCCAGAATTCAAAATCACTATTGTAACCGCGCCATCTATATTCCAAAAAGTGAATTAAATTATTGATTTTAGAATATACTGTATACACAAAGCTATTTTATAATTAAATAATTTAATAATAAAAAAAGAAACATCATTAAAAATTCATATTTAATATTAATGATTTTAGAAAATTACAAAAAAAAATTAAATCTTGTATGTAATTATTATTACATTAGTGAAGTTAAATTCTTTTTTAATTACTGTAGTTATTTTTATAAATTTTAAAGCAAGTATATCTATTTATCTGCATATATTTTATATGAAAATATACATGTTAAAAAATTATTCAAGTTTATAAGAAGAGATATTGAAGAATTTTATCGTGTTTTTTGTGCTATTTTTATACACAAAGTTTTGATAAAACTAAATGGATACCTCCTCCTGGCTACCTCTTTGTAGGATGATGCATACGTGATTTTTTTCTTTTGTTTACACAGTAGTGAATAGAAAAATCTTGTCGTTCTCAGTCGAAGAAGAGCCTTTGTAGTTTCATTTCGGCTCTTCCCTGCAAAGATGTAGATAAACAAGAAAATTGTAAAGTTATCCGGATATAAATTTTAGTCAGAAAAACAACTAGATATCAATACCCTCTTTTTAAAAAAATTATCATCATCACTATCAAATAATTCCGTAAAGAAAAACTATATTATTGAAATTTTATTAATTAAGAATAAAAATATTCAAGATTTATACTGTATATTACACAATAGAACCGCTCTATATATAGATAAAATAGCTTAATAACAGTTAATTGAAATGTTACATGTTATAGTTACAACATGTTTTCATGTTTCTGTTTTATTCTGAGATTAA